AAAGAAGGGAAAAGAAAAAATATGAGAAAAGGAAAAACATGGAAACAAAGTCTTTATAAATAGGGAAGGGTGGAGGGGGTGAAGGGAGGGCAGGGGAATGGGGAAAAAAATAAGAACCAAGATCAGGTACAAGATCCCAATGATGAATGTAACTGTATTGTGTATCTAAAATGTACCAATAAACTAAATGGAAAAAAAGTTTTCTCATTCTGTAAAGCCCATCTTAAAAATCAAATAGATACATAGTATAAGTGGTATATAATTCATGTCACTGGAAAAAGAAACATTACAGGATTCAAGTGCAAAGATTTTACTTCTACTGGATTGTAGGATGTATTCTAATATAGAGTCCAATTTTCCATTTGTATATGTGATAAAATATTTTGTATGGTATTTTGCAAATAATGAGTATTAAATATCTATATTTATAGGGTACAGACACTGATATGAAGGAATGCATGTACAATTCACTGAATATTCAACTTTTATAATAAGATATTTCTTATTTCCCAATAAGATTACATTTCTAAAAATGACAGACTTGTTTTTTTATTATTCTGATCATCTGATACCCCATGGATAGTTAATATTGACATATATTTAACTTGTAGTTACTGTTAATGTACCATGTGTCAGGTATCTTTCAGATTTGACTGGATGCTAAAATGAATGACAGTCTTCATCCCAAGAAATTTAACTCATGATTTTTATATGCAGAGCTAATGAATAGACAGAGATGCATTTTGACTTCTTCCATGTCTTCTTCACTCATAATTTATGCACTACATATGACTACTCAAATTGAACTTGAAAGGATATTTGCTTCCACAGGTAAGAACAAAACATCATGTTCAGTCATAATCTCAATATTGTGAGAGATGTAAGATAATCCCTTGACACCACCCTCTCCAACAGCCATGGCGAATAACTCCACCTTCAGCTCTGTCTGCAAACCAGCTGCCACCTATAAGATACAATGTCGCTTTAGCATCTTCACACATGGCGTGAGTTCAAATCTTATTTTAACACTAATTTGTGCAAGTTACTTAAACTCTTTACTCTTCAGCTTTTTCACCTATAAATTTGGCACTAATAAAGGGTAGCTGATATGAGCATTTAGCAAAATTATTTCAAAGATTAGTTAGGTAGAAGTCTATTGAACAATTGGGCCCCAGGATGAACTTTTGAAGAGGTAAACCAAGTGATATTTGAGAAACAGAGGAAAATTAAATTCTAGGGTATTAGAAGTGGCATTGAAGACAAACTTCTACAATACCCATAATTGTGCTATTTCTTGAATGTCAGTAGTGCAGTAGTGAAATTCCATCTACTGGAATTCTTGAAGTAAAGACAAATTTAAGAGAAATAGAAATTTAACCTTACAATAAATCCAAGAGACTGATTGAATCCTGGAACCTCCCTGCCCTCCTCCTTAGTCTGTTACTCCAGTTCAGGATGTGTAAAGTGACAAAGCCAGTAGAGGGAGACAGAATTAGTTTCAATGCCAGACTGCTTAGGTCTGAAAGCTAGAGGGGGAAGAAACTTGTACCAACAAAGAAGAAACCTGATACATAATGAAGAGGAAACATAGCAAGGCAGGGGCTTCTTGCCTCTTTCCTTGAAAAGAAAACTAGCCAGGAAAGAAAGAGCTGTTTTTGTTCCTGAGCTGTCTCTCCAGGAGGTGGGTTAAAAAACAGAATTGGGAACAGTTATCTGAAAAAAAAAAAAAAATCAGAAACTACCACATGGAAAGCAATTAGATACAAATGGAATTTTTTTCAATATAGTTTTACAAATAATAGAACTGAAAAAGTTTCCATTTTTTCAACTTAGGGCATGCATACATCCTGGAGGGGATCCAACATTTCTGTACTGAGACTCAGACCCTGTAGTCCTCCAAACCCAACAATCAAAATAGGGCTGGATTATGACGACATTCGGCATGAGAAGAGCTGGAAAGCTGCCATAGTGCAGATTCACTCAGGCTTTGAGGATATTCATTTACTGCTGGCACCTCACCAAGCTGCACTGTGGTCAGATTTACATATGGAGAAGACTATAGATTATATTTTTTGCCAGAGCCAAAACCTACTGTCAAAAAGGGAAAAAAACCCAAAACTAACAATATATAGTGAACTTCAAAGAGTACACACTGGGTTTTTAGTACTTCTAAAGGTTGATCCAACAGTCATTTCAGCTATTGGCACAATCTCTACCTGAGATTAAAATGAGATTTACTAACTTCCCAGATTAGTAGAAGAAAGGGCTTGCTTTGATTTTTGGTTTTGCTTTATGTTGTGAAGACTCAGTGATAAATTATTTGGGAGAGTTACTCATAAATTAGTAGATACAATCACAACATGTATTTCTGTTTGGTCTTTCAGCTCACACACTACTGTTTTTCTATAGATCATGAAATATTAGAGCTAGGAGGGGGATAAGATTATCTAGCCTAAACTCCATTTGCAGGCTCACAGCATTAACCATCAACATCCTCGAGCTGCTTGGTGGCACAGTCATGACAAAAAACCAAAACACTTTGTGCTATACAAAACTGACCTTCTGTGTGAATGAGTAACAACTGTGTCTCCTTTGGACTTCCATATGCAGGGAGCACTGTGTGCTTGTCACAGGACCGGATATCCCTGCCAATTGCTCTCATGAGCCCATGCATATTTCCTGTGTGTGACGAATGGGTCCTGTATCTATTTCATCCTGTTTTTCTGTCACACTTATCTTGAGTACCTGCTAGGTGCCTGGCTCTGTAAGCTCCCTGTGTGTCTCACTCTGCATTCTATCAGTGGCCTATGAGAAGTTTGCTGAGTGAGATGAAGGGAGTACTAAAGTAGCCAGAGGATATGATGAACAAGACTTCTAATTGTGGTTTTGTTATATTTTGAGATAAACTTTTGTTTATATCATTCTGTGTTTCTGAAATTATAATTTAAAATGGGAATATAGAATTAATATACATCTTTTTCAGTAAACACTTTGTTTTAGCAATGTATCAAATAAAGTCAGATTATACCGACAATTCTAAATGTGTGTTTTCGAGATCACTGGAGAAAAGCAGCTGATAAATTTAATAAATACATGATTATTTCTTAGTATGGCATTAAATAATATCTGACAAATACCAAGATAGCAAACCAGATTTGCAAAAAATATAAAAATGGAATAATTATGTTTTTCTGAAAAATTTTTTGCCTTACAGAAGAATTTATTTAAAAAATAATTTTCAGACATAGATACACATTACTGTATGTACCGGAGCAAGGGAGGTGAGCTACAGAAATATTTCCATAGCCAGAAGTTAAACAGTTTGCACAGGGGGTCATTGCCATAGTTCTTACAGGAAATGAGTGACATCAAGCCACATACTGCACCAATACTGGGAATCTATTGCTTATGGTACTAGAAAAATTAGACTTCTACATGGTTTAAGCTGAATGGGCTGAATGACTCAAAAGCTCACTTCACTGGAAACATACATTCACATGTGCACGTACACACACACACACACACACCCCAGATAAGACACAGGACTTACAGGCCCAGGTTTATAAGTCACTTTCAGTCCACTGCTAGGTGGGGGCTGCTTTACTCTAAATCTGTCAGGAAGAAAGACAGACATTAATTTATGGCACAGTAAAAACACACAAGCAACTAATCAGGATGTTATAAAATCAGAAAGGTGTTCATGTTTGCTATATAGGAGCCAGGTGTCCCTAAGCTTAGAAAACAATGTTAATATTCATTTGGAAAAAGAATTCAGGGCCCATTTCATAACTTCCTTTCCAACAGTTTTCAACAGCACAAAACAGACTCTAACCTGAGTTTCCCTCCCTCTACTGTTGGTTGCTGAGGAGCAGCTCAGGCCTGGACGCAGTGTTGTGTGCATTTGGCCAGTGTGTGCATTTCAGAGAGCCACCAGTGTGAGTGCAAACGCTGGCAGCCAGATCATTAAACTGAAGAATAAAGGCTCTTTTGGAAGGCAACGGAGCATGGGAGCCAGTCTTACTCTTTCTTGGTATGGGGTTTGCCAGTTCAGGGAGAAACAGAAAGGGCTTAGAAAATGTTAAAGAACTTGCAAAGCTCTGTGCTCACACATGGTGCTTATCGATCTCTTTCCCTTCCTGCGGTTTGTGGATTGTTCCTGAGGGTTAAAGACTTGGGGTAAAAAAATGCCAAGGAGAGCCTACCTCACGCTGATCCCCAACCCCACTCCTTCTGCCATCAACTCTGCTGTCTCCCCATCATGCCTGGATTTAACAAGCTGTGGAGTGAAATTTCTAAAACTACAATTCTGTACTGCAGAGATAGGATCTGCATAGATGAGTTTTACTAGCATGAGATTAGCTCTCTATTTCTTCTCACATATTTGTTTTAAGAACACAAGAATACTACAACAATGAAAATCCAATCACGTCTGACCTGCTGGTCTGAGTCTCTCAGCAGGTTGTTTCTTGGGAAACAAACACTATTCTTGAAGTTGGGGGATTTGCCTCAAGTAAAGGATGGCAATGATCTTTCAAATTGGATGATACTGTCATTTTGTTCCATCTGATTTCTGAGTAGAGAATCAAAATTATTTTTAAAGGGCTTGCCATTATAATAACAAATAACTCAGCAACTGCAATATTTATTCCATTTTTATCCACCCCCATGCATGTTATATTTAAATTTAATTCAAAATAGAGGGCATTTTTGTAATTGAGAGTGGTCTTGGTATATGTGGTATATAATATTGACCCAGTGGAAAAGACTGAAATCCCACGTGAAACTGATGACCATACTCGTGTTAGTGATGTATAGCATGTGTCTTCACATGTGTGAAGACACCAATGACCTGGTGCTCAGGAAATCTGAAAGCTAGTCTCATTCTAGCCTGTAAGACCTTAAAATAAGTCACTCAGTTTCTTCCTGTAGAATGGTCTCCAAGGTCCCTGCAAATTCTAACATGCCGCTGGTTTTGACCTGAAAATGAAAAACTGACCCCTTGTCATTAAATGCCAGCTAAAATTTATTTTTAGCTGTCTGTACAGACTGTGAATTAGGTTATTAGTTATTAATTCTAAGTCAGACCTTCATAGCAAAAATGACCCTGTTGACTCAGGTTTTTCCCTTTTCCCCTCAATTATACAGAAAAATGTAATTAAAAGCACTTTCTAAAGTCAAAGAATTTACATGATAGGAAGAGAAAAGCATCAAGAACATATAAAGGGATCCCTATTAGACTATCACCAGATTTCTCAGCAGATACCTGCAGAAAAAAAAAAGGACGATATATTCAAACTGATGAAAGAAAAAAACTCTTCCAGTTAAGACTATACACAGCAAAGCTGTCCTTCAGAAATAATAGACATAAAGTATTTTATAAGTAAAAGATGAGGGAATTCACAATCACTAGATCTGTCTACAAATTGCATAGGGAAGTTCTCCTAGCAGACACAAAAGGATGAAATTACTATCATGAATATATACGGAACTATAAAACTTGCTGGTGGAGGCAAATACATAGCTAAATTCAGAATACTCCAATACTGTCACGGCCAAATAAATCATACATAGTAAGATAGGTGTCAAGTCAAAAGCTGTTGAAAAAGAAAGTCATTATTTAATGATAAAAGTGTCAATTCATCAAGAAGACATAGATAAACCAGGCATGGTGGTGTAACTCTGTAATCTCAGCACTCAGGAACCTGAGGCAAGAAGATCACAAGTTTGAGGCCAACCTAAACCACATAGTGAATTAAAGAATGGCCTGGACTATTTAGTCAGACTCTCCCACCAACAAAAAGAAAAGAAAAGAAGAAGAGGAGGAGGAGGAGGAGGAGGAGGAAATAAACATTGTAATACGCCTACATCTAACATTGGAACATCTAAATACATAAAGAAAATATTAGTAAACATGAAGCGCACAATATTATAGCAACACAATACTAGTAGGGGAATACAGTATCCCATTTTCTACAATGGACAGATCAAACAGAAAGAAAATTAATAAAGAAATACTGGGTTTCAACTTTTGAACAATTGGACCTAATGGACATTTTCAGAACCTCCTATCCAACAACAGGTGTATTGGTCAGCTTTTCATTGCTGTGACCAAATACCTGACACATAAAGGAGTCTATTTTGGTTCACGGTTTAAAAGGTTTCAGTCTATGGTTAGCTGTCTCTGAGGCAGAAACATCATAGCAGAAGGGCCTGACAGAGAAAAGATGCTTAACCTATGGCAGCCAGGAAGCAGAATGAGAGATAAGGAGCTAGAAAAGGAAGGGGCCAGGACAAGAATATGCCCTTGCAGGCTACGTATTCTGTGACCTGTTTCCTCCAGCAAGGATCTGCCTCCTAACAGCACATTCAGCTGTGAACTTATTAGTGGATTAATCTATTGATGAGACTAGGGGAACATTTAGATCTAAACTTTAACAACAAATAAATACAATTTTTTCTCCAACATATATGGAATATTCTCCATGATGGAATATTAGGTTAAAATATAAGTCTTAACAAATTTAAGAAGATTGAAGTAATATCTACTATTGTTTCAGACAACAATAATGTGAAAAACAAATCAATAACAGGAGGAGCCTTGAAGGTTTTACAAAGATGTACAAATTAAAAACTTGGTCCTATATGAATGGGGTGAATAAACAATCAAAGCAGGAATTAGAAAATATCTTGAGACAAATGAGAATGGAAACACAACCTATGAGATGCAGTAAAAGTTCTAAGATGGAAGTTTATTGCAATAAATGCTTATATGTAAAAAGAAGAAAAAAATATAAATTCTATTACTACACATCAAGGAACAAGAAAGAACAAACTAAACCTAAACCACACAAAGAAAAAAAAAATCAGAACAGAAAGAACTCAAATAAAGAACAAAAATCCATACAAGGAAACAATAAAATTAAAAGTGCTTTGTGAAAAAATAAAATTGACAACTCTCAGCTGATCAAAAAAGAAAAAAAGATTGAAATTAAAAAAAATAAAGCAAAGAAGCTACAAGAGATGTCTCAGAATCAAAAAGGATCATAACGGACCATTATGAACAAATTGGATGATTCATAGAAATCAAATTGAATAAATTCCTAGAAAAATAAAACCTACGAAGATTGAGTCAGCAAGAAACATAATGTTTGAACAGATTGAAAACAAAGTGATTGAATAAATGTTCAGAAACCTGTCAATGAGGAAAAAGCTCAGGACCAGATATTCACCAGAATACTAATATCAATATTTCTTAAACTCTTTGGGAAAAAAAGAGCTAGATCAAATACTTCTAAACATATTTAGAGGTCAATGTCTCCTTGATAATTAAACCTCAAAGAGATATCACAAGAAAACTACAGGCAAATTATGTGATTAAAATTGTTGCAAGAATCTTCCGTAAAATACTAGCAAATCGAATTCAATAGCAAATCAAAAATACATCAGGGTCCAAATATGATTTATCTCTGACATGCAAGGCTGGTTTTATATACACAAATCAATCAAAATGATCATCACATTAACAGAATGGATGATAAAAACTGATCATCTCAATTGACACAGATAAAGCATTCAAGAGAGTCTAACATTCTTTACTATATGAAAACTCTAAACAATATAGGTATAGAAGAAAAGTTCTTCAATGAAATAAAGGGCATTTATAAAAATCCACAGCTCAAATTGTAATTAATGGGGAAAAACTTCCACTGAAATCTAGTTCAAGATACAGATGCCCACTCTCACCATCACTACTCAGCATAGAAAAACTTTTAAATAGCAACAGCAATTAGACAAGAAAAAGAAATAAAAGGCATTTAAATTAGAAAAGAAGTAAATTAATTAACTAAAACTTATTTAACTAATGGATGAAAATGTATTTAATTAAATTAATTGAAAATTAAAAATTAATCTCTTTGCAGATGATATAATCCTACATGAAAAAACCCTGATCACCCAAAAACTATACGTGATAACTCAGTAAAATTTCAGGATACAATGTCAATATACAAAAACTTGAGTATTTTAATTCACAAATAACAACCCAATTGAAAAAGAAATCAAGAAGGCAATCCCACTTTTGACAACATTTTAAAAAATACCTAGGACTAAATTTAACCAAGGAAAGATTGGCACACTGAAAACTACTAAATATTAGTGAAAGAAATTGAAGAAGGCACAAATATATGGCACAATATACTGTGTCCTCATTTGGAAGAACTAATATCGGTAAAAATATCCATACCACCCAAAGGAATACAGAGATTTAGCACAACCCTTATCAAAATCTAAATGATAATCTTTACAGAAATAGAAAATAATTCTAAAATTTGTGTGGAATTGTAGAAGACCCTGAATAGCCAAAACAATTCTGAGAAAGAAAAACAAAACTAGAAGTACCATATGTCCTGATTTTAAGTTATATTACAGAAATACAATAACTGAAACAGAAAAAAGAATAATTGAAACAGTATGGTACTGGCACAACAGCAGACACATTGAATTAGCCATTGCTTTGACACAACATCTGACACTCACAACTTAAAAGAGAGGGTTAAATTTGGCTCACATTTTAAGTGAGTTCAGTCTATAGTCAGCTGGCTCCAAGGCAGAAACATCATGGCAGAAGGGCACAGCAGAGCAAAACTGCTGAGCTCATGGCAGCCATTAAGGAAAGTCAAGAAACAGTCCTAGAAAGGAATGGATGAGGGACCATATATAGTACCCAAGGTCACAACTCTATGACAGGCACAGACATCCTCAGGAGCCTCCTTTATTAGTCTGCTAGGCATTTCTTAATCAAATGAAGTTGGATTGTCAGGCTTCCCCTTGTCAGCTTCACACCCAAACACACCTCCTTAAACCATACTTAATCTCCAAATAAAGACAATAGCAAGTTCATAATTCTGCCTAACATAATACAACTGTCCTCTGTATAACTGAAAAAACAATAGTCCCTTCCCCAAAGTCTCAACAGTATCAGCATTTTTCAAACGCTCAAGTTAATGTCTCTTCTAAGACTCAAGGCAAACTTATGACTGTGAGCTTTTGTAAAAATGAAAAGCAATTTACATAATCCTAAGGTACAATGTCATAGGGTAAACATTCCCACTTCAAAAAGGAGAAAGAGGGGGATAGAAAACAATAGTACGAAAGCAAGACCAAATCCAGCAGGGCAAACATTAAGTTCTATTGCTCTTTATCCAGCATCCAGAGCACATGGTGGTGGGGATGTAATATCCAAAGGGCTTGGGCAGCCTCACCTCTATGTCCTGGCTGGTTGAAGCCGCCGGGGACTCTCTCATGGCCTGCAACTTTTTCTTAGCAGATGTTCCATATTACTGGCATCTCCAACTTTCTGGATGGTTTCACCTTTGGCTTCATTTCCAGAGCATTACAGACTGTGCTCTCAGGGACTCCTTGCCTGGACTCCCAGGCCTTCCTTTGAAATCTGTGTGGAAAGCTTCCTGACTTTACATCTCTTGCATTCTGGATGCTAGTAAATCCAGCATCAGTGGACAATGCCAAGGTCAGTTGCCAGGCACCCTTGGACCATGGCTGTAGCAGCTTCTGAGGGCTGGAAAGCTGAATAAAGAAAAACTCATCCAGGGGGACCAATTGCCTAGGAGGCCCTTCTCAAGTAGGCATCCTAGGGACTCTTTTTGCAAATGAAAGGTTTACATACTTGCACTGTTGAGCCTGAACAGCATCTTCTCGTGTCTGTACAAAGTACTTGCTTTCTTTTTAATGGTGCTAATCTTCTTGGCAGCCACACCTCCATTGGCCCCAACTTTATACATAGTTTCTTCTGAGCTCAGATTTAAGTTTTTCAAATTTCTCTGCTCTGTCTTTTGTCCCCAATTCTTATTATAAGTCTGGCTAAATAAAGCCAACATTACCTATGGCACACCCTGAATGTTGGGCTGTCTTGAAATTTCTTCCACCAGATTAATTAGTCTGCAACTGGGCCGGGGATTTAGCTCAGTGGTTTCGCTGCCTGCTGCGCAAGCACAAGGACCTGAGTTCGATCCCTGGTACCAAAAAAACCCCAAAAAACAAAACAAACAAAAAAATTAGTCTGCAACTCTTAAACTCAATTTCCTGCAAAGTCTCAGCACATAGGCAAAAGGTAGACAAATTTTCTGCCAGAGTATAACACACACGGTCTCTAGTCCAACTGCTAATGGAGTCCTTGTTTTCAGCTGAAACTTTCTGGCCCTGGTCTTTACTGTCTAAATTCCTATCATCAGACCAGCTCAGTCTGGTCTTCTGAGCTTCAGTCAGAATTACCTATCAAGCTCTGTTTAGAGCATCCTAGGCTTCTCTAGCCCACAAACCTTTCCAAATTCCTCCTACAAACCAGTTCCAAAGGTTTCCAAACAATATGATCAAGTATAGCCACAGCAATGGGCCCACTTCTCTGGTGCCAGGTTTCTCATTGCTTGAACACAATATCTAACACCTACAACCTAGAGGAGGAAAGATTTAGTTTGGATCACATTTTAAGAGGAATCAATCTATGATCAGCTCAGTCCAAGGCAGAAACATCTTAGCAGAAAGACATGGCAGAACAAAGCTACTAAGTTCATAGTAGCTGGGAAGCGGAGCAGGGGAACAGTGCCAGAAAAGAATGGGTAAGGCACCATATACAGTACCCAAGGCCATGGTTCTGTGACCCATCTAGACATACCCAGGAGCATGTTTTGCTAATCTGCTAGGCATTTCTTAATACAGTGAAGTAGACATATTAGGATTAAAGGCTATGTGCATAGAACAGTAGAACAGAATAGGAAGCCCAGAATTAAACCCCAATATGTACTATCAACTAGTTTTTAATAAAGGCACCAAGAGGACACATGGGAGGACAGTCTCTTCAATAAATTGTGCTGAGAAACCTGGATTTCCACATGCCAAAGAATGAAACTGGATCCTTATCCAACAAGATACAGAAAAACCAACTTAGAATGTTTAAAACACTCAAATACAAGACCTGATGTTGTAAAACTTCTGAAAAGAACATAAGGGAAAAGCCCCAGACATTGACCTGGGTAATGATTTTTGTTTTGAATTTCGCATTAAAAACTCAAGCTACAAAATGAAAACAAACATATGGGAGTACATCAAAATAAAAAGGTCCTGACAGCAAATGAAATGATCAACAAAATGAAAGTGCAAAATGAAAAAGTGAAAAGGTAAAAAATTATCAGTGAGAGTGTAGAGAAGGGGAAATCTTGTACTATTACCAGGAATACCATTGTGAAGAAGGGTATGGTCATTTCTAAAGAAATTAAAAATAAAACTATTGTATGACTCGGTACTCACTCTCCTGGGCATATATACAAATGTCCTGAAATCACCACCTTAGGATATGAGGATGAAGACTCCCAGATCCACTGAAGCATCATTCACAGTAAGCAAGATAACCAAACAATCTAAATGTCCAAACAGATAAATGGACAATGAAAAAAATATATGAAATTTATTTATGTGTATGTGCGATATATATTCCATTATATATGGTTATATAATATAGGGTATATTATATATTACAATATATTATATTTTGACTTTTTAATAATAGTTTTCTCAACAGGTATGAGGTGATATTTCATGGTGATTTTGATTTACATTTTCTTGCTGATTAATAATGTTAAGCACCTTTCATATACCCACTGGCCATTTCTATGTCTTCTTTGGATAAATGTTTACTCAAATTCTTTGCCTATTTTAAAATCAGGTTATTAACTTTTCCACTGTTGAGTTGGATGAGTTCTTCATAAATTCATAATCACTTATCACATGTATAGTTTGCATATTTTTCTCAATCTTTTGAAATCTATTTCCAACACCATTTCATTCTGTTAACAATTTCATTTGCTGTGCAGAACCCCATATATATATATATACACACACACACACACGTTATATTCTTTAAATACCCTTTTTTATTTTTACACAAAGCAGATTTGTTTTTTCGGTACCAGGGATAGAACTCAGGACCTTGTGCTTTGTGAGGCAGGTGCAGCCCCACCACTGAGCTAAATCTCCAGCCCAGCAGTTTTCATGCTAAGTGCAAACAAATGCCAACTGGTATTATAATTGGTGACTAATTTGAGAAATAGTTTCAAGTTTTATGTACTGCTGAAACATTTGAATACCTTCTCTTTTGTTTTGCTTTTTGGCTATGATAGATGAGAATGAATGAATGAGTGAAAAATATGTCAATGGGTAAATTGCTGAATGAATGATGTGAAGATTCAGTGCACAGTAACAGTTCAGTAGACATTCCCTGTGCAGGCTGAGAAAGATAAGTAACAGAAGGAATGGGAACTGAGCAGGCACTTGGGCACCTGTCCTCACCTGCTGAAGTCTACACCAGCATTCTTGAGCTTTACAGTGGTTGCGTAGGTGTGTCCTTCTTTGAGCACTCCAAACTTCACTGATGGTGGGAGAAGGTGGAACCCCCAAGGGGGCGACTTTACATTATTAATGGCAGCAGAGGCAATGGAGGATGTGTTCACTTTTCCTCCAACAGGATTTTGCACCTAGAAAGTGAGAAAAAAAACTTAGTAAACTAAAATGATTCTCCTTGGGGTTCCCAAGATAAGAAAAGGTCCCTGTCATGAGAGGAAAATAACTGTTAGAATGGTGTAGGAAATGAAGATATACAGCATCATGTAATCCTTACGACGTACTAGGCTCTGTCTGAAGGATGAAGAAGCTCAAGTTCAGAGAACGGAAAGATACTTTGCTCAAATGTAAGTGACAAAGCTTCAAACACAGGCTTGCTTCATAGCAAAGTCTGCGCTCCTCCTCTGTGACAGTGACTATCAAATTCAGCTCCCCTGAGAATCTCCAGGAGGACTCAGTAAGATACAACTGCTGACCCCACTTCCATGCACCTGGGGCAGGGCCAAGAGTTTGCATTTAGACAAATTCCCAGGTGTTGTTGATGCTGTGGTCAGGTAACCACAGAGAACCCCTGCTCTGAGCTCTTGTCAGCCTCCAATCAGCAGCCTTGACACAGGCTGGAAGTTTATTGGAACTGTAGAATCTCCAGCCCCACATAAGACTTCATAAATCAGGATCTGTGACTTAATCCAGAAGCACAGTGCAGTTTGAGAAGCGTTCCTATCAGGTATCAGTTATGTACATGGCAATGACTTCTATGATAGCAAGGACTGCTCTGCAGCATGAAAATAAAGAGAAGATAACTATTGAAACTTTACTAATGAGCCTAAAGAAGCCTTCCTTTTGGAACTGAGTGGTGGAAACTTAATCTTAGAGGCTTTTAGAGGAAGGAAAAGAAGAGAAACTCACAATGGCTGAGGGAAAGTGAGTCTGAGGCACAGTTAGGGTGAAGGAACAGGTGGGGCCAGGTCCTGTGCACATCTAAGTGATGTGGATTCTACCCTAAGGATCATCAAGAGGGTGTTTGGTGATCCAGTAGTGAGCTGAGAAACTGTCCCAAAAAGCAGTACTCCCAGCACAGCTGATTTCAGCTAGCAATTGATTAGCAACTGGCACATAAAATTCATCTCAAGAGTCTGTATGAGCAGCTCCAGAAAAGCACTGCTGTTTCTGGACCACCGGGCTCATGTGAGATGGTAGAATCAGTAAATAGCAGCACACAGTGCCTGAAATGAGTAACTTCCATGCAAAAGTGTCAATTGGCTCTGTAAAACTTGTTCCCATGTCTGTTTTACCTTTGCAAGTGGTTGAGACTTTGGTTTGGAGCTCAGCAAATAATGTGGTAACTTCACCTTTTCTTTCCTTGCCTGTCCTGCAGCATCTTGCAGCAAGGGCTGGGTTGGAATTTTCACAGGCACACAAAACTCTGGTTCTATTAGAGAGAAAGTTTATTTTATGTCACATGGACATTCCTAAGACATCTGAAGTGATACCAGAACATAAACCAGATTAGAAACTTCTCTTCTTAGCTTTTTAAAGAGCTTATTAATTCTCATCTTACATTTTTACATTTTACATAGTGATTTTGCATAATTACCTAATACTAGTCCTTAAAACAACCTTATGAGATGCATGTAGCTGACAATGTTGGCATTCATTTTTTAAAATACAATTCTAAGAAATCAAGTAACTTGCTTATGATGAACTAAACTTACCTGTAGGTCTTCAGGGTCCTTTCCAATACAGCAATAAGGTAAAGTATAATAAAATATCAATTGTAAAAGAGTTCTTAAAACTACTGAGGACAAAGTCTTAAGAATTTCTTTGATTTTACTAAGACAATTTTAAAAAGCAGTGCAATAATATAAGTAAATTAAGCAACAAAATTAAATCTTCAGATCACAAAATTCAGTTACTTTTCTTCCTGTCAGTTACATTAGTGAGGGAAAGTAGAAAATCCACACAGCTGCAGCTGTATATATTTATTCCAAATATTCAGAGGGCTGTAAGAATGGTACTGTGGGCCATCATATTTAAAAATCCTTTCTTGCATTTGAACCATGAAGAGAGCCAAGGGGAGGCACCTAAGAGTGGAATGTCCCCAATCTGCAGGTGAGCACCACATATTTCTACATACAGCTTCTCATAATCATCACAAAACCTTGTGAGCAAGGGAGCTTAGAGAACAATAATGTTGTCATGCTCAGCACCTTTGCTGTCCCTTCTTCCATTCGCACTTCTATCCCGCACACTTGGGTGCCACAACATCACTGGTCCCAACCATCAGCATGGCGTGTGACTCAAGCAAAGCCAATAAGGACTCTCCTTGGATATCTCTACTGAAGCAGGTAGTGATAACCCCATCTTCCCTACTGGGTTGTAAATCTAGAAGAATTGGAATCTTGGGACACTGCAGTTGTGATCCAAGTCACATGGGATGAGAATAAAACCAAGGATGGGGCAAGATGGAAGCAGGGAAGAAGTGAAGAGAGAGACAATCAGACATCCATTCCTGGAAAGCCAAGGAGCCAGAGTCCAGACAACCCTGGGGCTGCCACCATAGTCAAATACATACAGTTTGCTTTTGTGTACCAATTAATCCACTAACCACCCACACTTTTATTCATTTTTTTTTACTGAGTTTGAATTTTTTCAGTTAAAAATTGAAAAGTCCTAACTAATGTAGTAGTAGTATCTCTTTTTTTTATAGATAAAGAAAACTGAAGTTCAGAAGATTAAATAACTTGTCCAAGAAATTGCAATAAGTGGCAAGGGTGAAATGTGAACATTAGTGTGTTTGATTCCACAAGGGACATATTCCTTGTAAGTGAAGTGTTAGTGAGGGGCAGGGCGAGAAGGTGGGGTGAATGTGGCTCTGGTTTCTACAACATGCTCACATACTGCAGTTGATGCAAATCTCAATGTCATGCCTTGGAACGTGGGAGTTGGGATAAGATGACACAGTCAGCTCTCAGGAGCCATGGACCTGCCTCTAGCACAGCCTACCTGCAGTCTGGAGCAAACTGCCTCAATGGCCCACAGGCCCACAGACTGGTTGTTTTAAGCCACTTCAGGATCTGAAGCATTTTCATGGAGTATTATGATAGCAAATACTGAAAAACACATGTTTTATTTTGCAAATCCAAACCTTCTTTAGTTGGCTCTACTGTATTTTCCAAACATTATCTTGTACTGTTGTCAAATGAAAACTCTGAACTGTTTAAGCTGATTTATTGTATTTCTGCCTTCAAACTTTTGAACACATTCATTTTTTTCTTTTAATAGACTGAATGTCCATAACCTGAAAAATCTAAAACCCTAAATGCTCTAAAATCTGAAACTTTTTGAATGCTGACATGATACATTTTTCTGAATTCTTTTCACTTCCTTACACTTAAAATATAGTGTAATAAAATCTAGAGAATTGGGACTCATGAAATTCACTTTTTAGCCATACCTCAGTCACAAATTTGCTGCATGATTTTAGGTGCCACTTGATTTTTCTAGGTTTAAGTTTCCTCAAATAAAATGAAGGTTGTGTTAGGTGATTCTTCTTGTTATATCTTAAAATTATATATCTTATAATTGTATCTTATAATCTATATTTATATGTCTTATAAAATTCTTTTTAAGGCACCTGGAAGGAAGCTCCTCCGCCACCATCCCAGGCTCCTAGGGGCAGAGAAGCTCAGCTGGTCTCAGCACCTGGAAAGAAGCTCCCCCACCGCCATCCCAAGCTCCTAGGGCAGAGAAGGTGAGCCGCGTGGGTGCCAGAAGCACCCCCTCCCGTGGAAATGAGAAGACACATAAACAAGTCTCAAAAACAGACTTCTGGATCACCTACAGCAACCTCAAAGGGAAATGAGATGAAAGAATCTGATACTCAACCACCTGGACTCTCTGAACTGACAACAAAAGAGGATCTGGGAAAAATGAAATCAGAAATAATTACTCAGATAACAGCAAA